CACAAACAATTGTGGACGGACGGACGGACAGAGGCGACGACAATATACGTCCACATGAAAATCTGGGCGTATATAAAGATGATGTTTTTTGTAACAAATTTCGGCTCAAGTGGGATGACGTGTATATTTGTAAGTTCTAGTTTTCAGCCCGAAATTTCTGAAATCAAGGGCCACGCTGTAAACCCAGCGTCCGCTTTTAGAACACCAAATACGCCATTTTAGAACACTATTTTGAAACAGATTTTGAACACTCTTACGCGTCTTTCTTCTATCAGAACACTATGTTTTTACTTTCAGAACAGTATGTGTTCAGTTTTAAATGGATTTCCCTCTGGATTTTAGAACACTTGTGACGCGTAAAATGTGTTAGAACACTATACGTTCAACTTTTCCCCTTGGTCTTTCAACACATCGGACGTGTAAAACGTGTTCTTTTTAGAATACAATAAGGTGTTCAACTGCATGAAACGGATAATGAACACTAAAAGGTGTTCGGTGATCATATTTTGAACACTGTTCGTTCAGAATTTCACACACAGAGGGAACCAGGCGTTCTAAACAGACACCGGATGTTCTGTTGTGAAAGACTCTCTGACATTTTAACAAACATTTTAAAAAAAATGGTTAAAATAGACTCAAATGATTTATTATTTCGTATGATAAAAGCATGGCACAATTTAAAAACAATTTAAACATAGTTTACAAATTTATTTTATTTCCTTAATTTTATAATACAACATGGGAAGAGATAATGTGACAAAATATTGTTTGCGTCGATATTCTTCTATGCCCAATTAAAAAGATTCACCTATTATAATAATATCCGAATCTGAATGTAATATTATTGGCAAGTAAAAAGTTATCTGTGGTACACTTATTCTGTCTTCTAGTTCTACGTTTACTTTTCGTTCTTCTCTCTTCGCCTGCACACCATCTAGTCGTTAGGATGGGCCTTGGCGCGCACCTATAACTCTTGGCAAGAGTAGGCGGAAAAGCCACCGTCTGGGTAAAATTTCCCTCATTGCACACGTGATGCGTGTTCGTCTTCATGAGCCTAGGAAGATAAACTCCATTTCATTTCCCCACCTGCAATAGAAATATTAACACCAATTAAAACCCAGGAAAGCGGTATAAGATATATATTGGGGGTGTAAAGTGTAAACTATGTTTTAATAAATGGATATAATACCTGAGCATATGAACTTACCGTTTGAACAAATCTGCAACAACATAATTCTTTTCTAGAAGACTGTGCAGTCCATTCGGCGGCTTGTACCAATTTTATTTTTTCGTCATCTTCTGTTACCGTGCACTATTATATTAAGGAAAAAACAAGATGACTAATTATTATAATAGAGGGTTTTAACGGCCTACTTATCTGCTCCGACTGGGCTAATGAAGACGGTTAAATAGACCATTCTACTAGATAAAAAATATTCTATCGAAAATGGCTTAATACAGTAATATTTTTGGATATATAGACATCAATATATTGAAAATCATAGATGTGGACAATCGATTGCGTCTCTTATACCTTCCTTATGTGTCGCGCCTTCCATGACCCGGTTGGTGCAGAAAAGTAGGAAGTTAAACCCCAAGGTCAGATGATTATTAATTTTGCATACGGTGTTCTGTATACGTAACAGAATGTGTTCTGTAACAGAATATGCTGTATAAGGAACACCATGCCATGTGTTCAAACAAATGGAAGAAGAAAATAATTTGTCAAATTCGACCAAAAATCTCTAATACATGCGCTTTTTGATAAGAGGAAATAATTTATTACCACAAATTATTACGCTTGACGAGGGTTTACGAGTTGATTTGGGAACACAGGTCTAGGGCCAGGCCTAGTACTAGTAGTTTATACAGGCCTAGGCTATTGTTAATCTAGCAACATAACCTAAAGTCATAGTTCTACTTCCAAATTCATATATCTAAGTTTCCCTGTTACTTTTGAAACAACTTGTCTACCTTATTAGAAAAAAACCCCAACAATACTTTACCTTAAATAACAGTTGTTGAAACAGCCAGAGCCTTAAAGTCAAACCAGCGTCCTGCAAATGGCGATTTTGAAAATAACCCGCGTCACGTGATGCGTCGTGCGCATGTCCGATGTTGAACTTGAACACATGTGTCCAACTTGATGTTCCGGTATGAACACCCACTGAACACCATGCGTTCCTTACTGGTCTTCTGCGTCCGTTGTGTTCTAAGTGTGAATGATTTCAAAGACCATTGAAAGGGAAAAGAACACAATGTGTTCATTTTGAACGGATTTTAAGGATTTGCGTACGTTTTAGAACTGCGGTGTTTATATGTGAACATTAACGTGTTCACATTTCAACGCAAAATGTTCTAATAAGAACACATTCAGACGTGTCAAGCGTCCGTCAGGATATTACAATTCGATATGCGCAAATATCGAAAGGAATCGAGATCTTTGGGTTATAAACTTACATTTCACGTTTCAACAAAATCGGACTCAGCCGTCCTTAGGGTGTAACGGTGATATAATAATACTTTTTTTTTAAATCGGATAAAAATTATGACCTCTATAGGGTCCACAAGCTAAAAACGCGGTTTTTCGTACAATCAGGGGCCATAATTCAGGAAGTTACGGTCCAATATGCGCGAATATCGACAGGAACCAAGATCTTTGGGTTATAAACTTACATTTCAAGTTTCAACAAAATCGAATAAAAATTGTGACCTCTATTGGGTCCACAACCTTGATATACCATATTTTTACGCTATTTGAGAACGAACGGCGGCCATTTTGTCTGTCAGTTTTGGGCCGATCTTCACGAAATTTGAACTTAGCCGTCCTTAGGGTTTAACGGTGATATGATAATACGGTTTTTTAAATCGGAAAAAAATTATAACATTATAGGGTCCACAAGCTAAAATGCGATTTTGCGTACAACAAGGGGCCATAATTCATGAAGTTACCGTCCGATATGCGCGAATATCAAAAGGAACCGAGATCTTTGGGTTATAAACTTACATGTCAAGTTTCAACAAATTCGGATTAAAATTGTGACCTCCTTGACATACCATATTTTTACGCTATTTGAGAACGAAGGGCGGCCATTTTGTCTGTCAGTTTTGGGCCGATTTTCACGAAATTCGAACCAGTCATCCTTTATAATAATACGGTTTTTTCAAATCGGACCTCTACAGTGTTCACAAGCTAAAAACGTGATTTTTCGTACAATCAGGGGCCATAATCCATGAAGTTACAGTCCGATACATGCCAATATCGAATGGAACCGAGATCTTAGGGTGATAAACCTATATTTCAAGTTTCATTGAAATCGGATAAAAATTGTGACCTGTAGAGTGTTCACAAACAATGTGGGCGTATATAAATATAATGTTTTTTGTAACAAATTTCGGCTCAAGTGGGATGACGTGTATATTTGTTAGTACTAGTTTTTGCGCATTAATTGGGGAACCCGATTCAATCTTCTATACCGCTACAATTGTTATAATATAGCGATTTTTTTTTTTTTTTTTTTTTTTTTTGACTTTTCAGTTTATCTCAGTTTTCAGCCCGAAACATCGGAAAAAATCATGTTTTTCGTAACAAATTTCGGCTGAGGTGTTATGACGTGAATATTTGTAAGTACTATTTTTAGCGCATTAGGGAGACTCGATTTCATCTACTGTATCACTTAAATTTTTACAATATTATGTTTTTTTAAAATTTTAATGGGTTCCTCTTAAGGTTATCTCGGTTTTCAGCCCGAAATTTCAGAAAAAATCGATATATAAAAAAAATCTATTTTTCTGCCCGATGAGTATTGATAATCTCACACTTCGCCGTGAAAATTGGTAGAAGCTTTAATGACGTTGTTTCGATATGACGTCATTTTGTTAAAGTTGTCGAAAATATCGTTTAGCTTTCAAGTTAACAAAATAAAATGTTATATTTTGAAATAGTTTCTAGTTTTGTTACTATAATGGACAGAAAACGTTTTCATATGGACATTTTATGTTTAATACTTAAATTTTTGTCCTGCTATAATCTATATGGGGGCCTTAATACGTATATTTTTTATACAGCTGGTCTCCTTAAGGTGGAAACCTATATTTCACACAACAATGAGTGAAGTAGATAATTCATGAGTTTTATTATTAAAAAGATATGGTTTTTGTAACAAATTTCGGCTCAAGTGGGATGACGTGTATATTTGTAACTACTAGTTTTTGCGCATTTGGGGGACACGATTCAATCTTCTACACCGCTGCAATTGTTACAATATAGCGATTTGTTTTTAGTGTTCAGTTTATCTCGGTTTTCAGCCCGAAATTTCGGAAGAAATCATGTTTTTCATAACAAACTTCGGCTGAGATGTTATGACGTGAATATTTGTAAGTACTATTTTTAGCGCATTAGGGAGACCCTATTTAATCTACTGTATCCTTGAAATTTTTACAATATTATGATTTTTTAAAATTTTTAATGGGTTGCTCTTAAGGTTATCTCGGTTTTCAGCCCGAAATTTCTGAAAAAAAATCGATATATAAAAAAAATCGATTTTTCTGCCCGATGAGTATTGATCTCGCACTTCGCCATGTAAATTGCAAGAAGCTTTAATGACGTTGTTTCGATATGACGTCATTTTGGTGAAGTTGTCGAAAATATCCTTTAGTTTTGAAGTTAACAAAATAAAATGCCCGAAATCCCATTACTTTTTGGTATTTTTCAACGTGCGACAGTTGATCAGTGTAATAAATGTGCTTTTTCACTTTTCTGTGAATGCAACTGGTTTAGTCTTTATGCGCATTCGGTGGAATTTATTTTGCAAAAACAGGTTGCTGTATTCTCGCAACAGGTCATATGTAATTATGTTAGTCCCGAAATGACCTAGTTTGTGTCGAGTGGGCGTTAAACCCCATCTCTCTCTCTCTCTCTCGTACCAGTTTTCTGAGTAAGCTGGCACGCAGTCTGGTACATCGAGTCTACGAGGTCTTTGTTGATCATGTGACTAATGTAACATGCGCATTAAAGACGGTGACATTGGGCGAGGTTTTATGCGTCATCGCAAGAAAAGTGAACGATTTAACATAGTCGGTCATTTCACGATTTAAGTTAAAAACCTCCAAAATGAGTGAAGAAACGCCAGTGTATGAAAATGATCAAGCGAATGGAAGTAGTGACAATCCAAAACAAGACTTTGAATTGTACATAAAGGTTAGTAATTCGACTATAGGCCAAAACGGTATAAATATACACACAGGGTCAGGGGTGTGTACGAATATTGAATAGTTTATATGGACAGTGATGGCGAAACACCCTTCAAGTCAACAAGATTTCATTTCCGTGGTGAAGATATTGAGACACCAGAGTTATGTCATAAAACTTGCTGTATTTTCCGCAGTATTATAAATTTTAAGAAATGATGTCTTTTTAGACTTAGAATAAATCCAAAACGGTGGTTTGAACGATGTGGATTTTTTAAATTTACGTGGGGTGACAGGACAGGAGTGGAGGATATATTTACCTCACAACCTACTGGTTTCAATTCAAGAATTTAATATACTCCACAGCGGAGAGAAACAATTCAACACGATTTTGTCTCTTCCGCTTGCTTAAAATGAATCACCATAAAATATTCTATTTATAGACATAGCACCGGTATTACTAGGATTAGGATGGATTACACGTCTGCATGTCATTTTGGAATTACATTTCGGACTCGAAAATAAATGACCTCAACGTATGAACTTGAGTAGGTGACGTTTCAAACTCAGGAATAAGTTGAAAGGAAAGGTTGAACACGTTCTGTCAAATAACATGCCATCAAGTAGGATTACATTTATAATATGTCATTTCGGTCCCGCGTCATTTCGGACTTGCAACATTTCGGACTCAAAAAAATATGACCTCGATGTTTCAGACTCGGGAATAAGTTGAAAAGAAAGGTTCAACACAACTGTCAAATCAATCTATAATAAAACAAAAGCGATTTTATAAAAAATAACATGCAGGTGCAGGTAAAATTTACGGCTCGCAATCAAGTACAGCACGTGGAATCGTGGATTACGCACCGTATAGTGCTCTCAAAGGAACTGCAAATTTTTCAATGTTGAATGTTTATAAAAAGAATGATTTATTTCTTTGTATATGTAATATGTATATAAAAAGTAGCCGATGAATTTATTAGAAATTGGCAATTTCAAAACACGAAAGAAAATATTAACATGAAACCTGTGGTTATTAAAAAGACTCTACCAAACGATAAAAAATAGTTGCCCTTACGGTTCTTTATCATCGCTTCCCTTAGAAGTAATTTATTTTTTTAAAAAAAAGAATAATATGCTTACAAATTTATTTCAAAATGACCTACACAAAAAAGGTAAATATTTAGTCGACATGCACTGTTTTTATAAGCCCCTAGAATTTTTTACCGATAATCCGGAAGCTACACGTTGACATGCATTCCTCGACAAGCTTGCTGTAGATAGCAGTACCAATTGATAAATTAGTGCTTACAAAGGAAACTCTTTTTGGAAAATATTAGAAATGGCAACGATGAAAGTGGGTAATTAAAGCTGATTAACCAATAATCCCTATGTTCTAGTTCTTTGGGGGACGAGAAAAAACGTGAGTTGTCAATCAGCGATAATGGTGGCCGTGTGTTGATTCTGTTATTCCGACTCACGTAAAAGACACCTAAGGCTTTCACAATTATAAAAACATTAGCAGCAGTATAACTAAATATACACAGATTTTCAACAATATTATATTTTTAAGTTCAATACTCGCAGATGAAACAAAACAAAATAGAACAAGCCGTGTAAAATCAGTGTTATCTTTTTATTAGCGATCTCAAGAATCGCTGATCAATTAAATAAAACAAAACAACTATCGGACTCACATAAAACAAAAAAAAACCCCAGATGTTACAAATATATCACACAAATGTTCAACAGTCTTTTAAAGATGGGTTCCCGCGTACAAACTGGGTGATTTAATGGTATATATGGACTAAAAACATATTCAAACTAATTAATTTGTCATAATTATACTTCAAATCCTTCTCAAACATTGTAATTGCGAAGGAATGCCCTGCTATTAAAATTCGATCAAACCAGGTCATGTTTACGTCACGTCTTGGAAATCAGAGGAGAACTCATTGCATACATAAGACGATGTTGTCTTTAATAGCTTACTATTTATTACAAATATCGAATCCTAATTAAATTCTCGGATTATCCACTACCCTCGTCTTTTTCCGTCATTTTTATCTCAGAAAGTGTTGTACGTCTAACGCATAAAGTTTATCAACTTGTACATCAAGCGCTCAATGTTCGCGTGTGACCTTTGACATCACGCGTGCAGAAATTCTTAATCGTCGGGCTGTTGATTAGGGGAACCCTTACATTTTTGTCCTGTATACGCTCCATAAGTGTTTTTGGGGAATCCAGTATTTTTCTAGTAAGATTGGATATCTCTACTTTCCATATGTACCAAAATTGCCATACTTTTATTGGAAGTAACCACCCGATAAATACTTTTCTGGGAACCCATCTTTAATTATTCATCCGAGTCCGAAATGTCGCCAGGCTGAGTCCGAAATGTCGCCAGGCTGAGTCCGAAAGGTCGCCAGGCTGAGTCCGAAAGGTCGCCAGGCTGAGTCCGAAAGGTCGCCAGGCTGAGTCCGAAAGGTCGCCAGACTGAGTCCGAAAGGTCGCCAAGTAAAGTCTGAAATGTCGTCTGTGTTAAGTCCGAAAAGTCATCTGTGTTGAGTCCGAAATCACGCGAGCCCGAAATGACGTGCCAGAGGCGGGTTCAATGGGGGGCACGAGGGGCCCTTTTTTACTGCTGAAAGTGCCTTTTCTCAGACCCAAACACACCAGTCTGGTCTAATTAATGCTTCTACTTTCAAACAAATTCTTGTTGTTTAGCTGACGGTGCCCTTATCCTATAGAGTGACTATAGACAGACATCTTGTGGAATTGGCGGTGTATACACTCATGCCCATCACCGACGCGCATGAGTGCAACTTGATGTAGCATTGTTTCATGTGTGGACAGTGCAAAGTACAAGTTACAAGGCTTAAATAGTGAAGTGGCTAGGGAATAGATTCGTCTTTTTTCCCATCATAATGCCTCACTCGCCTTGACAATTTTCGAGTCGCATGTTCAACTGGCTGTTTTGCTCGATTTTAAGGCTCTTTTTCAACGATTTCCGAACGTTTACTTAGACGAAAATATCAGCCAAATAGCTCTTGGAATGGCTACAGATGCAAGGAAATGATGGATAATTTTCTTCCCTCCCCCACAAAAAAAATCTTCTCTCAGCGGCGTACCCCATCTCCGCGGTCAGTGCCCTTATTTTGCGGCACCCCCCCTTTTCAAAATTCCTAGATCCGCCCCTGCGTGCTACCTCAAGTACAGCACGTGGAGTCACGGATCACGGCACCATAGACCTCTTTGAGGAACAGCAAAATTTTCAAATGAAAAGAATGTTTCATTTCTTTATATCTGTAATAAATAAAAAAGGGCAGGGGCTATTTGCCACATGTGGTAAGATAATTCGGAGACCATTTGCCACATGTGGCAAGTCTCCGTATTGCAATTATTAACTGATTTATGACAACATTAATAATATCTTAGAGTAGCCAAAATTTCAAGCACTTCCAGTCAGATTGTCACACATTTCATGTGGCATGACTGCAGGCCGCAATTACCAACAGATTTCGATGAAACTTTGCAGAATTATAATTACATTATATAATATCTCAGAGTGGGCAAAGTTTCGACCACTTCCGGTTAGCGGTTTTCGAATTATCAGGTTACCACACATTTCATGTGGCACAACTGCAGACTGCAATTATCAACTGATGTCCATGAAACTTACAGAATATGATAACATTAATAATATCTCAGAGTAGGCAAAGTTTCCGCCACTTCTGGTTAGCAGTTTTCGAGATATCAGGTTACCACACATTACATGTGGCGCGACTGCAGACCGCAATTATCAAACGATGTCCATGAAACTTACAGCATATGATAACATTAATAATATCTCAGAGTAGCCAAAATTTCGACCACTTCCGGTTAGCAGTTTTCAAGATATCAGGTTACCATACATTTCATGTGGCACGACTGCAGACCGCAATTATCAACCGATGTCCATGAAACTTACAGCATATGATTACATTAATAATATCTCAGAGTAGCCAAAATTGCGTTTGTTTTAATATGACTACTCGAATCAATAATAAAGTGTTGTTTTAATTGTTGTTTTAATAAATTGATAAGATGTGTTTGTTTTGATATGCATCTGTTTTCTTTGAAATAATAAAGTGTTATGTACTTACGCGTAGTATTTTTATACGCCCATGTGGACGTATATTGTCGTCGCCCCTGTCTGTCCGTCCACAATTGTTTGTGAACAGTATACAGGTCAAAATTTTTATCCAATTTCGACGAAACTTGAAATATAGGTTTATCACCCTAAGATCTCGGTTCCTTTCGATATTGGCATGTATCGGACTGTAATTTCATGGATTATGGCCCCTGATTGTACGAAAAATCACATTTTTAGCTTGTGAACACTGTAGAGGTCACAATTTTTATCCGATTTGGTTTAAACTTGAAATGTATGCTTATAATCCAAAGATCTTGGTTCCTTTCGATATTTGCGCATATCGGGCTGTAACTTCCTGAATTATGGCCCCTGATTGTACGAAAAATCGCGTTTTTAGCTTGTGGACCCTATAGAGGTCATAATTTTTATCCGATTTAAAAAAAACGTATTATTATATCACCGTTGCACCCCAAGTACGACTGAGTTCGAATTTCGTGAAAATTGGACCAAAACTGACAGACAAAATGGCCGCCCTTCGTTCTCAAATAGCGTAAAAATATGGTACATCAAGGTTGTGGACACTATAGAGGTCACAATTTTTATCCGATTTTGTTCAAACTTGAAATGTAAGTTTATAACACAAAGATCTTGGTTCCTTTCGATATTCGCGCATATCGGACCATAACTTCCTGAATTATGGCCCCTGATTGTACGAAAAATCACGTTTTTAGCTTGTGGACCCTATAGAGGTCATAATTTTTATCTGATTTAAAAAAACGTATTATTATATAACCGTTAAACCCTAAGGACGGCTGAGTTCAAATTTCGTGAAAATCGGCCCAAAACTGACAGACAAAATGGCCGCTGTTCCTTCT